TGCTGCCCTCAGCCCTGAAAGCAGAAACCTGACTCTGGGGAAATTCAGACTCTGTCTAGGGGGGCACCCCAAAACACCTTGGGCTGGGGACATGGAAGAAAAGAGAGGAGCCTCCAAGGTGAGGAGGGGCTGTGACAAAGGTCCATCTGTGATCCCACTGGTCACTGTGCTTGAGAAACAGCACAGGAATCACAGGAATCCAACAGTCCACACTGGGGGACACTCAGTGCCTCCAGAAAGTTTCAAAAGGGACTTGATGAAGGGTGGAGGACCCCTCCAGGGAACATCCTACATCCTCAGTGACAGGCAGAACCCAAGGGATGGGTGAGTCACTGGGAGCCACAAACACCTCCAGAGCAGAAGACCAAGGGGAGAGTCGGGGGGTGGGGGGACGCCGCCAGGGGCCACTCTGGAAGCCCTGCCGGAGCTGTGTGACCACGTTGGCCCGGAGAGGGCTAGAGAGTAACACTGCAGGGGAGACAAAGGCCCCAATCCAGGCTGTGAGGAGAATCTGGCCTCTAGAGGAACATCCGGCTTCTCATTTGATTCTGCAGTTTCTGCAGCAATCCCTGTCCAGCATGGGTGCCGGAGGCCCGCAGCCTTGCCAGCTGTATGTGGTGGAAACCCAGTGGACACCTTCCAGCAACCATAATGGACACAACCCCAGGCCATTCCCTTTTCTGGAAAACCTCTGGAGAAGTGCACAGAAAACATGCAGAAAGACGTCACTGCCTCTTCTGCGGTATCCTATTTACTTTCACATTTGAGCCAAAAAGCCATTTCAGAAGTGCAATCTCCCCTAACCAGATTTTTAATGGAGTTTTGTAATCCTTTCGGTAAACTACCTGATGTTATTGAGGAAAGTCCTCAAAAACAGCAGCTGAAAATACTTGTTAAAAACTGTTAAGTGAAACGGGGACAGTCAGACAGAAGCACTTGGTAGGATTGGGACTGAATCCCAATCTAGTCTGAATTGGGACTAGTGTGTTCGAAAGTCAACACAACGAGTTAACATTTAATATCAAAAGAAAATATACTTGCTCAGAGCATGCTCACTTCATTTGCTCCAAGTTTTAAGTGGCCGACAGAAAAAAAGAGATGCTTTTCTTTCTCAGGGGGCCTCACACTGCCCCCTGAATTCCACTTCTCTGAGTTTCAGAGCCACAACTTAAGAGGCAGCTGCCTCTGTTTTTCATGTAGATGCTTGAGTAGGAAAGTCTAAAAACACGGTGAGGACTTCCCTGGTGGCACAATGGTTAAGAATCTGCCTGCCAATGCAGGGGACACGGATTCGAGCCCCGGTCCAGGAAGATCCCATAAGCCACGGAGCAACTAAGCCCGTACACCACAACTACTGAGCCTGTGCGCCACAACTACTGAAGGCCACGTGCCTAGAACCCATGCTCCGCAACAAGAGAAGCCTCCACAACAAGAAGCCCGTGCACCACAACGAAGAGTAGCCCCCACTCACCGCAACTAGAGAAAGCCCGTGCACAGCAACAAAGACCCAAGGCAGCCAAAAATAAATAAACAAACAGATAAATAAATACATGGTGGAAAAAAAAGTAAAAAGTCACATGTGACCCCACTCTCACACACCGTTTCCTCCAAGCATCCAGCCCTCGTAGCCACAGCTGGAGTGAGCGCACATGAGCTGGTTTTTCTGGTTTGTTTCATTTGAGAGTCTGTCCACAGCCTTGTCTTTTAAGGACAGACAAGCCAGGCATTCTCGCGTGCTCTGCTTTTTACCACACTGGACACACTGAGGTACGTGGGTGTTTGTTTTTGTTGGATTATGTCCTCAGGATAAACCACAGGGATGGATGGGACCAAGAGGACGGAACACGTCTGTATCTAGAGAGGCCTCTGGACGGAGCACAGAGACAGGGGCGGGCAGCAAAGCCCACACACCACTGGTGCCCAAAGGACAGAGACCTCGTTTTCAGGGCTTCTGCCTAAGGAAGAGCAGCCTGGTCTTCAGACTGCAGACACCACGTACTCCCTGGACCCTGTCTCGCCCCTCAGGGCTGTGTGGTCTATTCCCCACGGCCCATGTTCTTGTTAGCAAGTTCACCTTCTCTTCTAGGGACCATGGAAACACTAGAAAACAAGCCCTTTTTCTTCTCTCACCTGAGAAGAGAGCTCTGTGGCCTACCTGGAACTACTGCCTCAAGTGGATGGGCCGGTTAACAGGTGCAATAGGTAGAATAATGCCCATAACCTAATCCCCAGAACCCGTGACTATAGCGCTACCATGGCAGAGACTCAAGGCTGCAAGTGGATTAAGGCTGCTGATCAGCTAAGAGAGAGCATCCTGGCCTATCCAGGTGGGCCCAATGTAATCACAAGGGCACTTTAGAGTGGAAGGAGGTGGGGGAAGGTCAGAGCGATATGATATGAGAGGAACTCAACCTGCATCTTCTGGCCCTGAAAATGGAGGAAGGGGCCACGAGACAAGGAATGTAGGTAGCCTCCAGAACGTGGAAAAGGCAAGGAAACCGATTCTCCCCTTAGAGACTCCAGAAGGAACCAGTCCTGCTGACACCCTGGTTTTAGTCCATGAGACCCATGTCAGACTTCTGAACTACAGACAGTAAGATAATAAATTTGTGTTGTTTTAAGCCACTAGTTTTGTGGTAATTTGTTTTAGCCGCAAGAAAAAACAACAGAAATTGACAGAAATAGAAACCAGGTAACTGACATCCACTATCCTTCCTCAGCCTGCGGACGGAGGACCCAGATGGTCCTTGATAAAGGGTAGCTTCACGTGGAAACACCCTGGCTTGAAGACTCGGGTTCCCAAAGGCAGGGGTGGGATGACGCAAGGGCAGGGGCTGAGGCAGGCTAAGTGGGTAGAGGAGGGTGGCATGGAAACAAGAGGTTTAAACAACCACTGTCTTCTTCCTTTCAATCTCTCTTAAGGATGCAAACAAAACACGCTGGGAATAGGTGGTACCATAATGTCCAGCGTATCAGGACCAGACTTGGCCTCCACTCCCAGGTCACTGAGCGGCATGACTGGCTATGAGTGGCTCTCTCGTAGCACTGCTCAGCTACAGTTGAGTCGAGAGCCCTGCCTTCCAGAAGGGATCTGAACAGCAAAGAAGCAGCTATGAGCACTGCTCTTGGAGATGGTGGGAGGATTGCATATCTCAGTGTAGTAGCCAAGAGGCCCTCCAAGCTATGCACTGTCTGGGTGAGCTTCCTGTGTCACTCAACCCCTGTGGATGCCTATCCTAAAAATGAGGATGATGTTGCTTTGGTCCATGTGCGCTGTGGTCCATTTCCATCCTCCAAGTTGAGGAGTCAATGACTTGGAGCTTCTCTGCTGCCTTCCCTGGAGACACAGGGGCACACGCTGTGTGTCGGACACTATCTTAAGTCAGTGACTCATCGGGCATCAAGTAACAAGGCTAAGAAAAGCCCTTCCCTGAGCTCATCTCCCGTCAATGGAGACAAACAATTACTTAAGATTTCTAGAAATACCCAAGGCACTCACAGCCAGCTCCACGAACCGGCTCCCCTTTTAAATGTCAGTCCCTTGTGAGTCTTCAGCCATGTAGGAGTGAGCGGCCATCGGGCCCAGAGCCATGAGCTCTTTGGGAGTGTGACCAGGAAAGGAGAGTGGGATCCAGAATCCCACAGTCGTTCCATCACAGAATCACTCCTTCTTATCCCACGTGCTCCTCTCATGGCAAAGGCTCCACTGATGTTGTTCCCATGAACGGGAGCTCCTGGCTCCAGACAGCAAGGCCTGTTGTGAAGGTGGGAGACAGCTAAATCCCCAGAGTGGGACAAGGCCAAAAGAAGCCCCTCTCACCAGCAGCCCCGTTGAGGGCACATCCAGCTGTTTCTCTGGGGGTACCAAGTAAAAGGCACTGCATTTGTGCCCAGAGCCAGCATGAAGGCAGCTTCCTACCCAGGCTGTATCCCACGGGGTATGACAAGATGGAGTGGGTCAAAGCTGGGCCAGCATCCCCAGGTCACCTGTTTCAAGCTGTGTCTCTTGTGAGTTGAGGATTCACCTGGTGTCCCTGGTGACCAAACATGCCAGATGCTGGGGTGGGGGCAGCCCACGGTCAGCAAGGTGACTTGGCCCCGGGGTGGGGGGATGGACACTCCAGTCCTGACCTTGTGAGCCCCAGTAGTGGAATGGCCCAGTGACAGGACAAGCACAGACATGCAGCAAAAAGAGGGGCAACTCCCAAACTGAGAGCCGCCTCCCATCTCTCTAGCGAGGTGGGCAGGTGGTATGAGCCTGGTGGGAAGTGTGGCACAGTGAGGTGGCCTTATAGCCCTGCAGGTGAGGGCTGTGCCCCTCCCTGCCTCTAGGGTGTCTCCTGTCTCCTAGGAGCCTAGGCAGTGAAGCAGGCACCCACCTGCCTCGGGCATGTGGCAGGAGGTTGGAGCTCAGGCTCCAGAACAAGCCTCTCCACCACACAGAGGACACAGCCACCAGCTCTTGAAACTTCTCCGAACCCACTGGCCTGGAGGGCTGTACGGGGCAAGGAGCAGAGCCCCCTCCAGGAAGCTCCCTCCACAGCCCTGTCTAGCGTCTGTGGTACATTACCATATTCGCCGAAACGCAGGGACTCCCACTGCTGCCACTCCACCAAGACGCTGACGGCGCGCACGCCCATGTAGATGAGCAGCATGCCCACGGTGGCGTCCAGGAGGAAGTTGATGAGGTACCTGTGAGGAGAGGGCACAGTGGCACCATCAGGAAACACCACCCAGGGAGCTGGGCCCACGTGCTTCCAGAGCCAAGGTCAAGGCTGGGGACCCAGCACTGTTTGCTCCTGTTCTGGGAGGTGGGAACCTCCAGTGTGCCTGTGCAAGAGGCTGCAGGGCTCACCTCCAGGAGCCCAGGAAGGCCTCACGCCCCGGGATGCTGCACTGCTCAAAGTGGGTGGAGGAGCGACCAAGAAACCCGAAAGCCCTCAAGTGTTCCTGCCAAACGAAGACTGGGACAGAGTGCGTGGAAGCAGCCAAGGAGGCCGGTAGCAAAACAGAACTTAATCGATAAAAATAATTTGTGTCATAACTGCTCACTCCCTGGAGGCCCAGCCCTCCCAAGGCCCCGAGACAGTGCTGCTGCAGCAGAGCAGTTCAGGAAATGGCCCCCGGGGTTTCCTAGACCAAAGAGGGCAGGGCCACGTGGCCCCTGCTCATCCCTGTGCTTCAGAGCCTGCCATGGAAGCAAGCACAAGTAAATATTTCTAAAGAGAGAGCTTAACCGCCCATGGAAAAGGCAAGATGATGGAGGAAGGAGAGGAGGGTCAGAAGAGCAGGCCCACCCTGACCTCTCGTTCTTGTGGGGTCTGTTTTCATCTGTCTGACACACACTCCTTCCCTCACCAAGGAAAGGCCCCTGGCTCACTGGCCCTCCCTCGAGGGCCCTGAACACAGGCTGCAGCTCTCCAGACAAAGCAGGAGACAAGCAGTCACGGGGTCAGGTGCTAGCCCTCTAGATGCCACATGGCTAGGAAACCCCCCTAGGGAAGCTCTGGATACCACAGACCAACTGCGGCACTGCTGAGTTGCTCAGGCTTGAGACATTTTATGCAGGCCCATGGCCCCAACCCCAAGGCCCAGCCTCAGCGGCCTCAGTGACATGCACAGCACTCTGAAACCTGAGGGAGCATGTGCTGAGGGGGGGAAAGGGGTGGCTGCCAGTGCCCTGGAGTGGTGAGAAAACCAGAGGGAGGGGACGGCCTTTTCTTCCTGCCTGCCCTTCCTCTTTAAAATCACAAGGGGTCACTCTCAGACCACAGACCAGAGAAAGCATAGCGACTGCTTCCCAGGCAGTTTCTCCAAGTTCACAGCTGAGCTCTGGCCCTAGGCTAAAGCTGCTCTCAGATGCTTAAACTGCATTGGTTTCAAGTGGTTCTGACATCTGGGACCCATCCTGAAAATATCAAGAGAACCTGATACACATGCATGCATTAGTTCATTCATCCCTCACCAAACACTGATTCGAGTCTACTGTGTGCCAGGCCTTAGGAATAAAGACAGAAAGCTCTAGACTCTATACTCAACACAGGTGAGACTGGCAGCCAACAGGGTATCCTGTGGTTCCTGGAGCCAGACAGGCTGCGTTCAAATCCCCGCCCCATCACCCTTGAGCTGTGTGAACTCAATTAAGTTATATAAATCTCTCTGTGCCTCAGTTCTCTAACTGTAAATGAGGATAATCCAAGTATCTATATTGCAGGGCTGTTACGAGGATCAAACGAGTCAACATACGTGAACAGTGCCTGCCACGTATTAAGTGCTACACAAATGTGCTGTTAGAATCATAGCCCCTCGGATGTCACAAAAGCCAAACTGCCACCCAGAGCAGTATCCCCAGCACGGGGCACCCCTGCAGCCACAGGAAGTTGTTCACCCTCCCCTGTTTGTACATTTCTCCTCTCCCTGAATTGACTGGCTTCCCTTCTAGGTCTGTAGAGTACCAAGATGCCCCAGGTCCAGCCCAACCCTTCCCCCATTTGTAAAAAGTCACAGGGCTATTCACCGATGATGGGGCTGGAGTGAATCCTGCTGCAGGACTTGCTCTTCCACAGGCCAGGACCTCTCCACTCTGTGGGGCAAGGCCTGCTCTGCCTGCCTAGTCTCCCTCCAACAGCTCTTCAACCGACTGCTGGAGCTCACGTGTCTTTCCTATATTTTAATGACAATATCCTCTGATTGAGCTATTACATCTTCATTGGCAAGTGCCTCTATGACTTCCAACGTTGCGTGGACTCATCATCTCATGAAACCTTCATGGTTATCCTGGGGATCTGGATGAGGAAACAGAGGCTCAGGGAAGTTGAGCTGCCTTCCCACTGACTGGCCTCCCATTCAAGGGCTCTTTTCACCACACCTAACTCCATTTTGGGCCTTTTCTCCTTTGGCTAAGCACTCGAGATCCGTCAGCAGTCCCCTCTCCATCCCAGCTGTGATTCAGTTTGTCAAAGTCCACCAGTGACCAAGGCGGCACCAGGAGACAGGGTTCCTCACCCCAGTGCCTCCAGGGTGAGCAGCTGGATCTCAGCATATCCCAGCCAACCAAGAAAATCCACCAGAGGATGACACAAGCCTGCTGCTGGGCTCAAGAGTTAGAAGGACAAGGCCCTTTCCCAACCAACTCCCCTATGGGAGGATCGCCCTTCCGGTCCCCTGCTGTGGGACTACACCCTAACAGATTACAACCTATCCAGGTCTTAAGGTAAAAATCCCTGGGGAGGGAAGACTTTACAACCTCCTTCTGAATCGGGACCTGAACTAAATCTCAAAATTACACACTGTCACCAAATAAGAGGCGCTTAAAGGAAACTTCCAGTCCAAATGGTCTTAAATATACACTGAACCTCTTGGCAAGGGACTCACCAGCCTCCACCCCACTCTCCCTCAGAGGCACGGCAGGGCTGGGGGGCATTCCAGGCAGAGGGCAGTGCGAGCAACGGCAGAGAAGCAGGAGACAGCTGGTGGGGCTGAGGGCCACCAGGAGCAGCCCAGCATGGCTTGGGGCACTAACTTTGAGCGAGGAAGGCAGCAGATGGAGCCAGGACAGGGAAGGGGAGCATCCTCTTCTACTCCATCTGCTAAGCGTGGCACTGTTTGGGTGCTGTCCGCAAGGACGACAGGTATCATGGCCCAACTGGGGTTTTAGGCAGACAGCTTTGGGAGCTGTGTGGAAGGCACACTGACTACACTGACAAGGCAGAACCACCCATGGTCTTCAGGTCAAAGAGGTCAATGATGGTCAACAAATGGTCAACAATGACTTTGACCCTGAATGGCTGACACCACAGAGAAGCCCCTATGTGTACTGCTCCAGCACAGACACTCCTTCGGGGCATTATGCTGCTTTGCCAGGGGCTACTTGGAAACTGGGAGACATAAGGGCACTAGAAGGCCAAGGGACAGAACTTAGGTTGATTAGCAGAAAGCCAGAGCACAGGGCAACTGTCACTGGGCAAAACCTTAACACCCAGCACGCACACAACAATCTCTCAGATGAGCACAGAGACGAAGGGGAGTTGCCCCCTCCCCAAGCTAGAGGGAACATGACTGGCAGCAGAAAGCAAGGCATGGAGGAGCAGGTGATGTTTGCACTCAAATATGGGCCACTTACAGTGAACAAGGGTCCTCTTCAGTGAGATCTGCTAGGTATACATTTGCAAAGTGGATGAACAGCATTCCTATGGCTTGTTTGGAAGTGTCTAAAAACCTGTACAAAATAGAATCAGCACTTGTTATCACTCTGACAGGAGGGTAATAACCAATTTGGGGAAAATGGTAAGTCTGAAACAGGAAAAAGCCACTGGGGAGACCCCAAACTTCCAGTTACTAGTCACCTCTTCCTGGGACGTTGGGACTAACTCAGGCTTGGCGTTTCAGCCCCCTTTCAAAATAGTAACACTGCATCCCTGAAAGGCCACTGATTAATAACACAGATTTAAACACACGAAACACGTTTAAAATGTGTGTTTTCACTTTTTTTCTTTCTTTTTTTTTTTTTTTTTGGTACACGGGCCTCTCACTGTTGTGGCCTCTCCCGTTGCGGAGCACAGGCTCCAGATGCGCAGGCCCAGCAGCCATGGCTCACGGGCTTAGCCGCTCCGCGGCACGTGGGATCTTCCTGGACTGGGGCACGAACCCATGTCCCCTGCATCGGCAGGCGGACTCTCAACCACTGCGCCACCAGGGAAGCCCTCACTTTTTCATTTTTGTTACTTCAAAACAAAATGCTTGAACACAGCTTTGGATGGGGTCCGAGGTGCCTCTACTTTAAAGAGCTCCCAACCGACTTCACACACAAGCTGAATGATGTGCAAGCTTAACGAGACTTGCACTCATCCAGCACTGCCTCTGGAACCCTAAACAACCTTCAGCTGCTGCCACTTAAACTACGGGCTCATTTGGGGCAGACAAACTTTTCTGTAAAGGGTCTGAGAGTAGATATTTTAGGCTGCGGGCCATCGTCCTCTGCAGCAACTACGCACTCTGCTGCTGCACTGTAAGAGCAGCCAGTCACTAGCAACCCACTGACACTTTATTTATGGAGACAGACAGCAGTCAGATTGGGCCTGCAGGCTATAGCTTGCCAACCCTTGGACTAGAGGACAGGAGTTTCAGAAAAGAAAAAACAAAGTTGGCAGTCTTTGGGACAGGTGGCAGGAGCACTGTGGAGATAACGTGGGCCCTCAGTTTCTCCCCGGCCATGAACACCTGGGGACCACTCACAGTCTGTGGTCGAGGAACCTCTGGATTGTGGTCGCCTCTCTTGGCCTCCCAGGCTGGGCATTCAGAATTGGGCCAGGCCACTGACAGGGGTGATAAAGGGGCACACAGGCATGGGTCTCAGGGCTGGAACAGACCTTAGGGATTATCCAGACCAACCCTGCAACTGAGGCCTGAAAATCATTTCCTAGAATCATGGCAAAGCAGGAGCTGCCAAAGGGGATTGTGTGTAAAACCCAACTCCACATTCCCCCAGGCCCCCCACCTAAGCTAGATACTCAGACTTGAGAGGAATCAACTGGTGGAGAATAAAAACGAATTACCAACATTGAGAAATAATGCACTGAAGATCAATCAAGAATATGCTGATGATTTTATTAAGGGGCCTTTACCACAGACATTTACCGGAAGTTTCCTCTGGAGGGAAAGTAGCTATTGTTAGGACAGGTGCAAGAAAGATGGCTTCTTGAGGGCATTATGTTGTCCTGAGGAGCTGGCTGTCTCCTTCTAAGTGATTTTTTTTGGAATTTTGTCTTTGGAAGCTATGTCTGAAGCTTTAACCACCATTTCTATGAAGGAAAAACTGCTGCCACAAGGTCATCCTGGGACTAAGAAAGACTAGTTTTGGGGAGAGGGGCATCTACACGGTACATTTGACTTATCTCCAAATTTAGATTATTTTTTTGCTTATGCATAGAGAGTCCAAAGATTTAACATAGTCTAACAACAGGCAGACACAACTAACAAAGCCTGCAGCACGGACTGATACCTCTGTATCATCTTCCACCTCCTAAAACTAGACAGCAGAGTTATGGCAGAATCGCCGCCATCTGGCTGTCACTAGCCCTATAGTGGGCTCAACAGTTATCTGGAGAAACAGAAGTGCTTTCATATTATACACAGTTCCCGATGATTAAGTGGACTAATGGATTTCAACACTTTATGTTATGTATAATTGCTCACATTCCACGCCCCCCACCAAAAAAAACCCCAAGTAGTCAAAAGCATTCTAGGAATGAGTTAATATTTAAATACGCACCATATCCTCCAAGGACGTCTTTCATGCTTTGGTTCTCTGAAGCGTTTAACTGAAAGAAAAGACAGATATTCAGTACCTTTCTACAGTGATAAGGAAGCGAAGTGCATTTAACAAGCTGGGGGTTCTTGGCACACTCAGTGTTTAAAACCACTGAGTCAGGATACTTGCTCTTTAACATGGGATGATGTGCAAGAAGCCATGAAGGTCCCAGAGGCCCTGTTGCTACCGACCAGTGGACTCTTCCGAACTGGCTACTTAGGAAGAATGGCTCCTCACAGCATGTGGAAAATTGTATTTTCTTCTTTGTGACAAGGGTCTCTCAGACAGGGACTGGAACCGCAAAGGGGAGTGTAGCTACTTCTAAGTTCAGGATCCAACAACAAATCCATCCATCCGCCCACCCACCCAAACGTTCACAGAGTGCCTGCTTCAAGCCAGGCGCTGTGGAGAAAAAGGCAGAGGCAGCTGTAGGGGAGGGCAGACATGTACCTGCAAGGGTGGCGAGCGCTCGAGAACAGATAAGTCTGAGGCGGAGTGAAGGCAGGAGCCCGCCTGCCTGCCTGCCTGGAGGAAAGGCACCAGTCAGGAAGGTGGCCAAGCCCAGTCCTGGGGACCGGGGACGAGGCTAGCAAAAGGAACAGGGAGGGGAGAGAACAGCCCTTCTGGACAGAGCACACACCATGAGCTGACAGGTACAGGGACATGACGTGACAGAGTGTGTGTGGCATAATTTGATTTGGCTTTAATATAGCAGGTAACAAGGGAGACAGGTTGAGCAGCGTCCTGAGCGCCAGGCCAAGGAGTCTGGAATGAATCCTGCTGGGAAGGAAAAGCCAGGGAAGAGACCTAAGCAGAGGCAAAGACACAGTGGAAATGGCGGAAAAGCGGCTCTGAATTGTGTAGATGGTGGGTTTCTGGGGGTGGAGAGGACTGAGCAAGGATGCTGGTTGTGTCCCAGCACCAGGCAGTGGCACTCCTAGCACAGGACAGTGGAGGCGGGACGCTCATTCAGCAACAGCCTGACCACGTCGAATGGCAACGGGCTCCCCAGACTGACATCTTCACCTCAGGTGGGTCTGAGACATAACCGTTTACGCTGAAGGAAACAAAAAAGTTCTAAGTGTCTTGTCCTCCACTGAAGCCCTAGGCAGACTTATTTCCACAAGGACTCTATCTACTAAAACAAACAATGCCAAGGGCCGCATGTGTGATGTTCTCCCAAACAAAAGTACCGAGGAAGAAACAGACACGATGGTAGCAGGCAAGAACACACTTCTGGCAGAGCCCCAAGCTGCAGTGAGGATGCAGGAAGAGGAAGGCAGGGAGAGAGAAATGGGTGGCCAATCAATAAGCCCTACTTCTCTAAATAAATACAGGTAGCCCCTGGGTTGCAAAGCAAGGACTGTCTATGCACAGAAATGAAATGTCTGGTGTTTACAGACATTTTGACAGAGAGACCAAAAAGCAGGTGAAATTGTGAGGAGGGCTCTCATCCCCTTGACACATGACAGATCCACAACATCAACAAGGCCGAAGAGTCTTGAGGGAGGAGTTGAGGGAGGCCCAGAGGTTCTGCAAGCGTCCTCTGGGCTGAGGGGCTGGGGGCTCAGGAAGGAGATGTGAAGGGAGCTGGGCCGGGACAAGCCATCTGGAGGGAGAGCCCACAGGCAGGGCCAGAGCGCCGCCTGCTCATGTGTTCTCCTCCTCGGGGGGGTCTGTCCCCATGAGCATAAAAGAAAGGACATCAAAACATAACCCAAGAAGAGTGTCCTCATTCTTAGGAGATACATGCTAAAGTACCCGAATGGGTACAATTTACTTTCAAGTGGTTTAGGGGGGAAATTATACATTATTTTTGATAATTATATATAATAAATATATTATAAGTGGCATAACTTATAATGCAATTATAAATCATTACACTATAATTATAAACAAATACAAGTAATTACATAATATTTATAATTATATTAATATATAATAAGAGAAGCAAATATGGTGTTATGCGCCAAGTTGTATTCCTCCTCCCACCCCCCTAATTCACATGAATAAGTCCTAACCCCCAGGACCGCAGAATGTGATTACTTGCAGACAGGGTCTTAAAACAGGTAATAAAAGTAGAACAAGGTCCATGGGTGGGCCCTAATCCACCATGGCTGGTGTCCTTATAAGAAAAGGAGATTAGTACACACACACCGAGACTGCGGGGTGACCATGTGAGGACACAGTGAGAGGACAGCCACCTGCAAGCCAAGGAGAGAGGTCTCAGGAGAAACCAAACCTGCTGACACCTTGACCCAGGACTTGCAGCCTCCAGAACTGTGAGGAAATAAATTTCTGTTGTTTAATACACCCATTCTATACTTTGTTATGGCAGCCTTAGCACACCAATACATGTGGCAACACAGTAACTGATAAACCTAGGTGAAGGACATTTGTGTATTCATTAAATTTATTTAGACTTTTTTTTTATGTCCAACATTTTTTGAAATAAAAAGCTGGGAAGAAAACACACTCTAGAAGAATGAGCCAGTCCAAGCATTCAGAGGGCAATCTGGCAATATCTATCAAAACTGTTAATACCCACACCCCTTAACCTGCAGTGCACTGCCAGGTATGTGTTGCACAGGTCTTACTGCAGCACATGCCAAGATGTATATAGGTCTTCACTGTAATACTGTCATAACAAAAACCCAGGAAGAAACCATCAATGTGGGGTTGGGTATATACATCACGGTACGAGGCAACACCATGCAGTTACTAGAAACAAGGTAGATCTGCATGGATTAATATGCAAAGACTTCCAAATTATATTAACAAACTGCAGAATAACATGCCTACCATGATTCTGTTCAGACCCATTTTTAAAGAATATATATTTATGCTGGTATTACGCAGGGTTTTTTTCCCTAGGATATGTAAGTGACTGTTAACAAAGGCTTCCTTTGATGAAAGGAACTATGGGTCGGGGGACCCATAGACTTTTTATATCATTCTGAATAGTTTAAACATTCTTCCATGTTCATATTGTTTTTATTTCAAAAAAAAAGAGACAAGCCTGTGTCAGAGACTTGTATTAATGCAGCAAAGTGGGACACGGGAGAAACGATGTGACTCACAGCTGGGCTCTGGTTCAAGAAAGGGAGAGGAAGGGTGTGTGCAGGCTGTCTGTGCGCGGGAGCGCCCTATATGGGACTCAGAGTGGATGCAGATTCTTCTGAAGAGCAGACGTGTGGCTCCTGCCTTCTCCCTCTCCATGTCCTACCCCCTTTCCCTAGAATACATGAGTCTAAAATCTTTTTTTTTAATTAAAGGAGGAAGAAGCATTAAGAAAGCTACTCTAGATCTAATTTGGAAAAGAACAGAAGATCCCGTTCACCCAGCCATGTGTTATTGAGGGGCCTGCTGTGCTATGGGGCCAGTTCAGCAGGCGGCGAAATGGTA